CATCTAACCTCCCACCCCTCACCATCTCTCTAACCTGCCCACCCTCACCATCTAACCTCCCACCCCTCACCATCTCTCTAACCGCCCCCCCACCCTCACCATCTCTCTAACCTCCCCCCACCCCACCATCTCTCTAACCTGCCCACCCCTCACCATCTAACCTCCCACCCTCACCATCTCTCTAACCTCCCCCTCCCCACCATCTCTCTAACCTCCCCCTCCCCACCATCTCTCTAACCTCCACCCCTCACCATCTCTCTAACCGCCCCCACCCCTCACCATCTCTCTAACCTCCCCTCCCCACCATCTCTCTAACCTCCCCCACCCCTCACCATCTCTCTAACCCCCCCCCACCGCCCCTCAGCACGAACCACCGCCTCCCCTCTACCGGTACCGGTCTCCTCCGTCCGTGCCCCCTTCGCCTCACGCCCCCACCCAACCCCCACCCCAACCCCCTCACCCTTCCCGACTCTTTCCCCGTCCCCAGGTCACCTTCCCCCCTACGCGGTGTAGCGTCCCGATAATTGGGGGGGGAGGGGGGGGGGGCTCGAGCCAGGATTGACTGGTACCCTGACGGGACGAGGGGAAGCGGTAGACGGGCTCCTCTTCTCCGCGCCCCCACCCCCACCCCAGGGATTTTGCCGGAAATTATTCAGCCATTTTTGCCGGAAATTAAAATAGTTTCGAGGCCCGAAGTCCAATATTTCATGTTTTTTTTTAGTAATTTAGACGATGTGTGGGTGGGTTTTTTTTTTTTGGGGGGGGGGGAGAGGGGAGGGGAAATCGCCTCAGAAATTTTTTTTTTTTGGGGGGGGGCCAAGAAAAAAAAAACCCCAAATGAAAAATATTTAAAATAAAAAAATATAATTCTTAAAAAAAATTGGGGCACTCCCCACCCCCCCCCCCCACAAAAAAAAATCCCGCCCCATTGGGCGTGAAAACCCGCCAACCCCCCCTCGGCGACCGTTGGCGCCCGCCTCGCGCCATCCAACGAGAGAGTGAGAGAGAGAGAAAAAAAACCCGCCCGATTCGCGCGTGAAACCCGAGCGATTGGGCGCGAAAACCGCCCAACCCGACGGGGCCGACCGTCCGTTGGTGCCGTGGCGCGCGGGTCCGTCCGTCAGTCAGTCAGTCAGTCCGTCCGTCCCCCACTCCGGGCTGAAGACGGATTTGCAGGTATCAAACAACCCCTGTACAGTATTTCGAGTGTTTTTTTTTTTGGGGGGGGGGGGGGAAGTTATTTGTTTGCATCTAATTTATTTTTTAAAAAAAGCTATGTCGCCTTTTACCTCCAGAGCCAAGGTGATCACGAGCGTTGCAAAAAAGATGTGGTTGGTGTGTTTGCTTGGCTGAGATGCCGATTAATGCAGTTGATCATATTTTTAGTACCAGTGCGCTTTCTCTCTCTGCGGACTAGAAGGTCTTAATGGCTTCTCTCTCTCTCTCTCTCTTCCTCCTTTATTATCCATAATACCACCGGCGGCAGGGGTAAGGCAACCCATGCCCTAAATGTACTAATGTGACAGGAATAAGTGGATGCTCCTGTTCAGTGATTATTTAATGGTGTTAGGAGGAAGCCATTTTTTTTAAAAAAAGGGACTTTAATATTGTGTTCACATGAGATGGCCGTGGTATTGCTCTCGATTTGGGTGTGCATCAACATGCACTGCAGACTGTTACCAAAACTAAGGCTTTCTGGCTCCGGTCTGCTACTTACCTGCCCGTACCCTCCGTTCCTCTGGCTCCGGTCTGCTCCACATCCCCCGCCCCAACCGCCCTACCATCGGTGGCCTTCAGCCTCTCAGCCCCGAGGCTCTGGAACTCCATCCCCCAGTGCCTTCGCCGCTTCCTCCCTTTCCTCCTTGAAGGCCGGTCTCAAGACCTTTCTCTTTGACCGTGCCTTCAGCTCCCCTCTCGACTCTCTACCCCTTCCTCGCTCCCTCCCTCCCCTCACCCTGACCATTTCCCCCCAATGCTCGGGTCCTGACCCAACTGTCCAGCGCCTTGGGACGTCTTCCCGACGTGAAAAGCGCTCTATAAATGAAATCTTGTTGTTCTTCTCTTGCACTTCTGGGATCAGAGTGCTTTCAGTTTGAGCTTGGATATTTAAATGATTGTACTATTGCCCCCTTTGTTACAGTTTATCTTCATCTGTGTTTGACTTTGGTTAAGATCCATGTATTCCGATAGAGCTGTAGTCTGATGAAGCAGAATTGGATATAATAATCCTTGCATTTGATATAGCGCCTTATCATGTGGTTGACACATCTCAAAAGCGCTTCGCAAAATATACTGTAAAGTGAATTGACTGTATATTTTGTGGGTGAAATGTGGCACCCAATTACGCACAGCAGTGTCCCACAAACAATCATGGAATCAGTGACCAAATTATAATTTTATTTTTGTTACAGTTTATCTTCATTTGTGTTTGACTTTGGTTAAGGTCCATGTATTCTGATCGAACTTTAGTCTGATGAACAAAATTAGATGTTAAAATGCATCTTGAAATTGAATAAACTTATTGGCTTCTTTAGCATATGCTTTTTTGAGTAAAATGTAAAGATTGTGCTGAGCCAGTTGCATATGATGAACAGCGTTATAACAATAATAATCCTTGCATTTTAATGTAGCACTTTATCACATCTTCGAGATGGCTCAAAGCACCTCACAGAATATATTGTAAAGTGAATTGACTGTATACTTCTATAATAATAATAATAATCCTTGCATTTGATATAGCGCTTTTCACGTCGGGAGGACGTCCCAAAGCACTTCACAGAACACACTGTAAAGTGAATTGACTGTATTTTTTGTGGGTGTAACGCGGCAGCCAATTGCGCACAGCTAATATCCCACAACCAGTTGTAGATTGAGTGACCAAATTATTATTCCTATTATTTTTTGTCCAAATTATTGAAAATATTCTTATCGATTTGTGAAGATGTAACATTTGTGCGAGGAGGTATGGTTGACATCTATGAATGTATATGTTATGAGTGAATTTATATGAAAGTATATTAGATTGTAAATAATAATAATTCTTGCATTTGATATAGCGCTTTTCATGTCTTCTAGGCGTCTCAAAGCGCTTCACAGAATATACTGTAAAGTGAATGACTGTATATTTGTGGGCGAACGCGGCAGCCAATTGCGCACAGCAATGTCCCAAACAGTCGTAGGTTGAAAATGACCAATTTATTATTGTTTTTGGTTTTGGAGGGATTATTATTAGGTGTGTGGAGTAAGGAAACTTGCCCAAGGTTTCGCCCTCTGCCTGGAATTGAACTCGGGTCTCTCACTTGCAAAGTGAGTGCTCTAATCACTGAGCTACAGGACTCCAAATCAGGGATGATGTAGTGATGTAATGTGTTGCTTCAGTGTATCATGGAGTAATAGGATATTGATATGCACCTGCTTTTTCCACACATGTATCAGTTTTTCATCTGGGTTGTGGCATCAAAGGAAAAGCACAGCCAGATGCTTACCCACGGGGAATGAAATTGAAAATGGAACTTCTAGCCTTGTCCCAGACTGGTCTTGTTCACTTTCTAGACACTGCCTACAAAAGGGCATTAGTCGTGGCATGGAGCAGACTTCTTGTCAACCCTTTAAGCAGTCTGGGACGCTGGCCTGCGTGAAGGGTGCTATATGAATGCATGATGTTGTTGTTGTAAGCCGTGAAACAGCAGGTGTTGTAGTAAGATCTGAGAATTGAAAAGCAATTGTTAGTTTAATTTGTGCCAACCAATACTTGGGTTATGGTTGTAACACAGTATTTATCATGTTTGCTATTCTTGAAGCTGATCATAAATTCTAGCGTTTTAGAAAAATCTCAACAAGGTATTTTGGCTGTTTGATATCAGTCATTTACATTGGGTCGGCAATGCTATACATTTGGAATTGTTTTTGTTTGATTTTGTATTGGTGCATTTGCATCCCAGACTACCTCTGAATTTAAATGGGTGCCTTTTTGTACGTTTGAATGATCTAGAATTTTGGGCGAGAGTTCAACTGGTGTTGGTACTCTTCTGGCACTCCCCAAGTTGGCTGTTTTTTGCCAAAGTGATTTTAATGTGGTTGAAAATGGGTAGAATTGGATTTCTTGCCATATCATGTTGGGTTGATCGGTGAACAAATGCTTTGTGAAAGTGGAAGGGAGCGCATAATGTTCTCAAATAATACAAGTAATAATAATCCTTGCAATTGATATAGGTCTTATCATGTCGTAGAATATATTGTAAAGTGGATTGACTGTATATTTAGAAGTCCTACATATTAGTGGTTGGATTCGATTCCAGGGTAGGACGAAACGTTGGGCAAGTTTCCTGAATCAACACGCATCTGTTTACTTAGGAGTAAGTAGGAATCCAGTTATTAGTTGATTGGAGGATCGCTTTTCCGGGAGTAATAATATAATGTGGTCACTCAGTCCACAATTGTTTGAAGGACACTGCTGTGTGCAGTTGACTTGAGTTTCCCCACAAAATACATAGTCAATTCACTTTACAGTATATTCTGTGAAGCGCATCGAGACGTCTCAACGATATGAAACGTGATATCAAACGCAAGAATTATTATTATTATGTGAAGCGCTTTGAGGCATGATACGGTTCTATATTAAACGCAAGGACTATTATTGTTAAATTGGCTTCAAATTCTATAACTTGGTATCCAAAAAAAGTGGCTTTTATAAACTGATTAAAAAGTTTTTGTAAATATAAGAAGGCTAAATATTAAACATGCTGGAGGTATATATTTTCACTGCAATTAGGTGAGGTGTGTAATGGTAAGTTATTGTAAACAGTTTATCATATTGAGTCCAGTGTTATTCTGCACACAGTCGGTTTGCCATACCACTGTGCCATTCAATTTAGTGGCAAAGTAAGAGATTGGGAAAGCTTGACAAGAGTGAGCTCTGATGGGGTCTCAATAAGCTGAATAAACCAGATTGTTGTATTAATTGCCTCATGGAGTCAGCATTAGAGCTTTGGAGTGTGGAAACTAAGATGGCATTAGAGGAGAATTTTCTATGTTAAGATATTTTAATAATAATCCTTAATAATCCTTGCATTTGATATAGCACTTTATCTTGTCGTTGAGACGACTAAAAACGCTTCACAGAATATAGCTCAGTGGTTAGAGCACTCGCCTCTCAAGCGAGAGCCCTGGGTTCGATTCCCGGCAGTTCAGGGCGAAACCTTGGGCAAGTCTCCTTACTCCACACACCTGATAATAATCCTTCAAGAAAAAAAACAATAATAAATTGGTCACTTCAATCCATGACTGTTTGTGGGACGTTGCTGTGCGCAATTTTGCTGCCGCATTTCGCCCACAAATATACAGTAATTTCACTTTACAGTATATTCTGTGCAGCGCTTTGAGACATCTAGAAGACGTGAAAAGAGCTATATCAAATGCAAGGATTATTATTGTAAAGTGGAGTGACTGTATTTCCTGGGTGAAACATGTCTACCAATTGTGCACAGCAACATAAATTTTAATCCCTTTAAAATAAATAATAATAATAATTTGGTCACTTAATCCACGACTATTTGTGGGGCGCTGCTGTACGCAATTGGCTGCTGGATTTCGTCCACAACATATATACAGTCAATTCATTTTACATTATATTCTGTGAAGTGCTTTGAGGTCTCAACGAAGTGATATGGCAATCTATTGAAGGCAAGGATTATTTTTTGTTTATAATATTTTGGCCTGACTGCAACAAAATGAAACTGGTCACACTCAGCATGTTTGTTGTTAGTGGGCCTGCAAAGCAGTAATTGTTGTGAATTGAAGTTGGTGGTTACCAAATAGCTTTTTTCAAAGAGCCGGCACAAACACAATGGGCCGAATGGCCTCCTTCTGTACTGTATGACTGTATTAATACTAGCAATAATAAGAATAATCCTTGCATTTGATACTGTGCCTTATTATGTCGTCAACATCTTAAAATGCCTAATATGACTTTATTGTGAAGTGTAGTGACTGTCTATTTTTGTAGGTGAATGTTTAGTAACATTAATGAATGTATTTCGCCCACAAAATATAATCAATTTACTTTACTCGTGGAGTCCTGTAGCTCAGTGGTTAGAGCACTCGCTTTGCAAGTGAGAGACCTGATTTCAATTCCAGGCAGAGGGCGAAACCTTGGGCAAGTTTCCTTACTCCACACA